AAAGAGAGAGAGACGAAGAGATCAAACTCTATACATAAAAAAAAGATGTGAGTAAAATCTAGCACAATCACTACTACTATTAATGTCAAACAATTCATTTTCATAAATCCATAAATTTCGATGAAACGCTTCTTATTGATATGATTTATATAAATAATGTTTTTCTAAAACAAAATAATCTCACTAAATTTTTAAATTCAATATAAAAAACAAAAAAAAAACGAAACAGACAAAAAATTGAAGCGGAGCACACATCCTTATTAGCTCACCCATTTGTTGGCAATTATAAATCTTTAAATTGAAAGAAAAAGAAATCATTGTGATACACACACATGTGAATCAATGTTGATCATTCATTGGAAACTAATCAAAGTTAAATTAACTAACTTGCAACTTGACGACTTTTTTCTTTTGTTTCTTCCGCAAGAGTTCATTGTAAGTTAAGAGTCTAAAGATAACGAAGTAATTATTATTTCCCTATAATAAAATTACGTGAAATCAAAGACTTCAAAAAAAGTCAAGATCCATCAAACATTGAGAATGATATCAAAACTAATCAGATCTGTAGAACAGACCAGGACACAGTACATATCCAGGGGGATATTAAGTGAAAACAAATGAAAGTAAACTTTTCATCAATTCAAATGCTAGTAAATATACTTCAAGATATGCTCTCTATCCTCTGGCATAAATTTTTTTATTACAAATACCAAATAGATCTGAAGTTTTGAACAAAATTTCTTTGGAATATGAAACTTTAAAAAAATGTATGTTGTATACACTTTGAATAGAAAAGGATCTATATCTTGAAAATTTCATATCTCGAAGAGACTTTGTTCAAAACTTCTGAGGTGTTTTTTTTATAGAACTTAGCTTAGTCGAGTTCTCTATTATACGGAAAGTTTCAGTCCAAAACTCGAAAATGCAACGTTTTCGAATACCTAAGGCTTTCATAAAATAGACATATTATAAAGTCTATAGCTTAGTCAAATATCAATAGGAACCCAAATTATTTCAGAGTTTCTATGAAAACATTATGTAGTACCTCTAGGGAAAAAAATTATCGAAACTGGAAGAGGATATCTGAAGAGATCCTTCGTTATTTATTAGTTTTTCAAGAAACCATAGTTTTTCAGATAGTTCCCATTTTTTCGGTCTCGGGAGATTTTCATTGCACAACAATGGCATATTTTGAATCAGTGCGCGAAACTATATTGGATAATGTATGATACAAAGTGTTTTCTAAACAAAAAATTTTCTCGAAAAAATGTGAGCAAAGGTTCTTCTCATGTATTTTTCATCGGAAAATGCTTTGTTTTATTAAAAGTAATTTTCTGAGTGATATGTAATCATTTCTGAGCAAAAGAAAGCCATTTTCCCTAAAACGAAAATTACATGTGTATCTGCAATGAGAAAGATGCATACAATGTAGTAGTGGCCACGCACAATATTTGTAGGACATCAAATACCGTAGATCTTTGCTAATGAATAGCAATCGACACTAAATAAACAGTGAACAATTGACAATAATATACGCTTAACACATTTATTTTATGTAAGTCAAAATATATTTCAATTCTATATTGATTCTACATATTTCTTTCATTTAGTTATTATGATACCATATATAATTATGAATCAAACATGATATTCCTATTGTAAAGAACAATATGAATTTAATATTCAACCGATGTTAAATTAATTTAATTAAATATTGTCCTTTATGGCTCTCTTGATCGAGTCGATTTATTTTTCTCATAGATGACCTTCGGAATTTTTTTTATGCTTGTAATCCATATCAGAAACTTAGTATGAAAATATGATTAGAATTAATCGACGCATTTTTTTCGTGTATGGATGATGATTATAATAAAACATATGAAAAGTGTATTGTCGAACTATGAACATCTATTGATGATTGAATTCGATTTGTTTTCTATTCAATAAATGAGAATATTTCAGGTGATTATGATAAAGATTATATGCTGTTTATATGAAGACTACCATGTCTACGAATCAGAGATGTAGGCTAACAATAAGGACTTCGCTTTTTTATAATTATGATATTTTTACAATCATGAAACAAATATATGCGCTTGTCGTAATCTATCAATATTATCTGATTATGATAAAGCAAATGGTTATTTATCCATTATAAATGTTATTTATCTTGAACTTATGCAATCATTTCTATTATTTAATGATAATAATTATTATTGATTTAAACTATTTTTTACTGCANTGAGTGATAGATAATTTTTTCGACAAAATGTTTGATCACTATTGACTTGATAGAAAATATTTCCAACGAGTCAAAAGCTATGAGTAAGGACCAGAATTTTGTGCTATTCTTTAATATGAACTTATAAGTTTTTTTTGAAATTTTGTTCGAAATTAGCGAAATAATCTTTTAAGAAACCCAAAAATCAGTTTGAATAGAACTCTTGGATCGACATTTTCGGTAAGCATGTTTGTTCATTTTAGCCCACTTGAAAGTATTTCAAACGAGTCAAAGTGACCAGAGTTTTGTGTTTCTCTTTGAATATACGCTTACACATTCTATATCTATTTTTGTTTGAGAGTAGTGAGAGGCTTTTTGAAAGACAAAAAAATATTTTTTTTAATGATAAGCCAACAGGCTTATGTTTAGGCTACCATTTAAGTGGTCAGTAAAATAGATGAAATGGTCAGTACTAAAATCATCAGTAATTAATTGTAAATTAGTTCGCTTATTTAATATGAGTGGTAGTAAAAAAATTCAACTTATATAAGTAGAAAAATAAGCTTTAACAAAAGAAAATACACTTGAATTAATCAAAGAACCACAGAATAAAAAAGAAATAATTAAAAGAAAAGCTAAAAAAAAATAAAATAAAAATTGAAGTATTGGATTAGTAAAACATATCTAGCCTTTCCTGGTCTACCTCTTTTGTTTTCTCACCATCGGCACTGTCTTTGCTACTGCTGGTTTCCAATAATTCAACCAGATAGTCATGTTCACACTATGTTTGCATATATAATTCTTGAAAAAGCTGACAGTTACATTTCGATGTTTTCCAATGTGAATCATTTTCCATTTCCATACATCAAATATCAAACGATTTTTTGAATTGATTAAACATTGTTCATTTATTTTGCTATATTTATTTAAACCAGCTTGTGTAATCGATTATCATTCACGAGCTGATATATCATTTTTTTGTGTTTTTTCGAGAATGATTTGAAATACAAATGATATCTTTCATTGATTTAGTCTATGGATATGATTAAGTTCATAATTCTTAAGATATTGTTAGTTCGGTAGCAAATATTCATGCTTTAATTAAGGATAAATCTCATTCGGTTGACTAATTATTGATAATGCTTGAAGAAATTGAATTGTTAAAAACTTTGACAAAATATGTCGTTCTTGAAACATTCCATTAACTTTAATTGTTGCATTGATTGCCTCTATAGCGTTGTTTGTACTTGGTGCACACAGTTGTATAGTTTCATATTCATCACCATTTGATTTGAAGTCCTCATTATCAAATACATTTTTTTAAACCCAAAATTTTGATTTCTTTTTTTGTTAGAGCTCTATTATTTCCATTTATTCTCTAATTTTCTTCCATCATCTCTTCATCTGATAAATCACTTTCACATGGAGAAACTTGTACCATTTCCATAGTTGCAAGTAGGTCAAATTTTGTATAGGTGAAATATGTTATTTTTATTTGAAAAACACTAAATATTTATACACGAAGATAGATAAAGACAACGATCATGAAATTTTTTTCTCTGTTTTAGATACTGAACAAGAAGAAGAATTAACGTAATCCAGGCCAACAAACACGGAGTTCGAATTCACCTGTAAACGTCTGTATACGTTTCGTACTTTTTCGTACATGACACGAAGATATACGATAGTAATACCGAATCATATGAATTGCAGTATTTCTCGATAGACGGTCGTTTACGAACGTTCTTGTTTAACCTGGAAATTATTCCTCTTATTCACAAAATCTATGTGATAAAAGTACTCAGGTGAAAGAGAAACGAGAAAAAGAACACTGATTCTTTCATATAATCGGTTATTAATAGATTGTTTTTTACTGATTTTTAAATCTATCTACAAACTTAACTAATTAATAACTGACCATGTAAGTAGTTTACTGATCAATCATTAAATTGGCTGATTTTATAATTATTTCATTTTCTGATCATTTCATTTATTTTACTGATCATAATTCATATTCTCTTTTGTTTATCCTTATAAGTTCTTTTTTGAACATTCTAAAAATTGTTGGAGTCGATCATTTTGTAGAGTGAACACCTCTCGAAAAAAATGTGATCTTGAACTAGGTTGTAACTTTTACCCAAGTGAAGCTACAAGTAGTTTTTTTTTCAAGAGCTTCTTTCAATATAAAACGGTTGTTGATTTTTCGAAAATAAGTATTTAGGAGAAACGAAAATTAAAATGTCTTGCCGAAAGACAAAAACAAATCTTCAAATAGTACATTTTGTAAGTTAATTTTTGATCTACAAGGTAATATATAAATAAAGATCCTAAACTTTAGTTTCGCATTGTAATTGTGAAAATAGAAGAATGTGCAGAAAAATTTCCCATCCAAATTAAATTTTTTCGGCTTTTGCAAAGATTACTTTATTACTCTTGAACAAAAACTGAAACAATATTGCTTAATCTATATACCAGAAGACGAGCAAAGTTTTCGTCGTAACTCATCGCTTTCAATTTGTCGGAAATACTTTCTAGTGGGTTAAAAATAAAACGAATATTTTTTCTAAAACTTTCCGATCACCCATTACAGCAATACCTATACCTATATCCTCAATCATCGAAACACTTATAACGACTGCTATGTGCTTGGTTTTCAAGTAAATATTCAGAAGTTTTCATCGCAATTTTCGGCATTTTTACTTCTGATCTTTGTATTCTCGATATTTTTACGTTGAACTGAAGTAGAAGAAATATTGAAAAAGAATATATTTTGTTTTTCTTACGGATAATCTTTATGTCGAGTCATATAAATTTGTGTACACTTATTGGTTTTCGGTTCAAATGAAAATAAATGTCGTTGAAAAAGAATAAAAAATATTTCAGTTGATGGACACCATTTTAAATCTACTATATCAACATCCTTTATTCCGGTTTGATGATATGGTAATAGAGTAGAAGTTGCTGTTGACGGATTACACATAATAGGTGGTACTAAAAAAGAAAAGATAAATAAGAAAACTTTATTAAAATTTAATAGATGAAAAAGGAAACAAACATGTTAATAAATTATCATTAAATTTTTTATCAATATAATGTAATTGTCGTCGATTATCTAACCATAGAATAGATTCATTTTGTTTACTTGATACAAATTTTTTATAATTTTCAACAGATATTGTTCGATATGATTGCATAACAGTATTATTTGGTAAAATACGATTATATGAAAATATATTATGTGCATTAATCAGATCATTACAAGAAATATCTTTTGTTTCAATACATATTTCACATCGAACTGATTCAAGACATTGTCGAAGTTGATTTAAATCATGTTCAATTGGTGATAATTGCTAATATGATATAAACAAAAAGAAAAATAAATAAATTAATCAACAAATAAAAATTGAATTCACTTGTTGAGATATTTCTCCAACTTTTTGTAACGCTGCTAATTGTGTTTGTAAAATTGACATTTTAGATTTTTGACCTTCTTTAAAAATATCTACACGATTTGTTAATTCATTTTGTAATTCATCTATCTCATTTGAATAATGTTTATATGTATTTTCAATATCAACAAGAATATTTTCTTTCCATGTATCAAGTTTTTTTCGAGCTTTTTCAACAGATTGTTTACAATCAAGTTTTGAAAGTAAATGTGTTAAAGAATTTATTTCATCAGATAATGCATATGTTCGAACAATATTTATTTCATTATGCTCAATAACATGCTTCAGACATAAACGTTTTGGGCAATGATGACATGTTACAAGTGCTGGTTTAGTACATTCGACTTCATTTTCACATATCGTTGGATTTGATGGATTGTTCGGAGACAAAGGAGGATCGGGTATTGTAGCAGCATTCGCCATCTAAAAGATGAATCATTGGAATCAAAAGAAAAGATTTGATAAGTATTTCTTTAAAATTGGTCGTTTATTTCATAGCTATAAGAATATGAGACAGAGATAAGATAAAAATGCGAGTATGTTAGTACGTAAAACAAAACAAAACAAAGAAAAAAGAAATCTATGAATAAGTAATGAACAGTCAAAAAATGTTGTTTTTCTTTTTTTGCTTTAAGCAATCGATGAAGCAAGTAGAGCTACACCACGTTCATAAAAATCAAATTCATTTAATGAAGTATCTGCTGATTCAAGTTCAATTGTAAATAATAATTCACTTCGTGTTGCATTCAAATAAACAGGTAATGTTATCATTGAATTTGTTTGTTTCTTTTCTGTTGCACGTATCCATTTAAATAATGTTAAATTAAGTTCTGTTGATATTGCCGTTGATAATGATAATTTATTTGATCGACATTTTGCACCTTGTAAACGAAGACCACGTATTGCAAATGTACAATCATCTTGAATTTGTTGTTGATCAGTTGAATCTTGTACAATAACTTGTAAAACAAGTTCTTCAAGTGACCATTGATTTGTTTGTGCAACACATTGACGTGATGCTGTTACATATGCTTCAGGAGTAAATAAACCACCAAGCCAAATAGGACATGACTAAAGCAAATAAAAAAAACATAATAGAATTATGTATTTGTTTTTGATTTTAGATAAATAAAATATTACTTTTAATGATTTAAATCCTTGATCAGCAACTAATTTTGATATTGATTCAAGTTGTTTAACTCGATCACTAAAATCTGTTATCCATTGAATAACAGTTAAATTTTTTGGAACTGTATAACGTTTCCATGATTGTGGAATGACACCTAAACAAAAAAAAGTAATTCTTACTTTTGATTGAAAAGAAAAATGTCGAAACATTAAAAACTATTATTTACTAGATGACAAAGATTCAATATGTTTATTTCATTTATAGAATTTATATTCATAAGAAAAAAGTGTTTTTTTACGAAGAGCAAGAATGTAAGATGGAAGCAAACTTAATGAACAAATTAACTTGAATCATGAATAAGTTTTATATCTTTTTTTTTCAAGAATATAGATGAGAATGAAGAGAACACACCGTCAATCCTAGGTGGCGAAACGTTTCGATTCTATGGTAGGTTTAAGATTTATCACAAGATCCTTATCTATTGATCAAATGCAGTTAATATCTCTTTCATCGAACTTAGAATGTGCATCGTGTAATAGTGGTGCAGACCAGCAAAAGCTTCGAAACCTGCACAAAAAAAATGGGTATTTCAAAAAAAAATGAGATATTTCAAAAGAAGACATTCTAATTTGATTTAACGAAAAATTGTTTAATATGTATGTATATAACCTTAGTTGCTCGAGACGAAATAAAATTTTTACACACTCTAGTTAATTGGACTCAAATTTTTCGTACAGTTCTTCTTCACTTGTAATCAAGGATCTCGACATTATTAAAAGTCTGCTTGAGTAAGAAAATTTTATTATTAGCTGTTGGAAGTGAAAAAAAAACATTGATGTTTGTACAAAAAAAAATGTGATGTACTGCTTCAATCTATTGATCTGATCGAAGAAAAGTGTTTGAACATCCAAAGCATAAATCTAGAGTAGACTTTCACTTTTCCAAACCTTGTGACTTTGCTGCCTATACTTATCGAACACCAGTTAGTAGTAGATAAAATGTGGACTCACCTTGTGACAACGTGTCACTAGTCAGACCAAAATGAAAACTAATCCGTAATAGAAAATTTTTACAATAATTACAAACAACTCAAACATTTATCTGTCCGATATATGGTTGGTTCAAGCCTATTGAGGCTTCGTGGTTCTTCCATCTAAGCTATCAATAAATCTTACCAATTGACTGATAGTGTCATCTTCGTTTCAGTAGCTGACTATTTATATTTCTATTTTTCATGCTAGTTATTTCACATATCATAAGATCATCTATTTCGATATCATTTGTGTAAATCAAACAAAGAAACGAAAAATAAAGAAGTCGAACTCAAAATTTTCTTTTACGTATATTCTTAATATTAACCCTTAAAAGCCGAAAGGCCTTATCGCCACAAATTGAAAAAACTAACCACTCAACTAGAAGTTCTAAGACCCCAATAAGAATTATTTATAGTAAAAAAGAAAAAAAAAATTTTTCTTACGGAGGTATAAAATGTCCCTTGGAAGGGACATTGGGTCTTAACGGTCCAAATTTTTCACTGTTCTTAGTTTATGTGAAAAGAGTTTTTTCCACCGAATACTTTTCTTTATGTATTTTTTGATACACGAAGGATCAATTGTAGCAATATTTCGCAGTTTTTCAACATTTACGCACTTCCTGTTTCATTATTATGCTTGCCCATGGGATCATCCAAGTATCGGCGAGTCAATATTGGCTATGAGAAAATGATCATCTTATACTTGCGCTAGTGGTTTTACTTCACCGATGAAATGGTTATTGAATGCTCTACGAGAATAGAACCAGGACTACCGTGACGGATTCAGAATTAAAGCGAGGCTGGTATCTCCACCACAAGTGAAGAAAATTTAAGGATCATCGAAAATTTCCGACAATTGGAGGGAGTAGGTGTCCTCTCCCTTGATTCCCCGCTTACGACAGGCCTTATTAAGATCAAAAATAACCAAAAAATCGCTCGAATATTACTTTAACAATTCTTAGACTGTTCGGATATTTTGGCCCGTTATGACCCAATGTCCTTTCCAAGGGACATTTCCTTTAAGACGTCACAATGCATCAATAGATCAATGAAAACATTGTGGGATGGTTTTCTACGATAGTCTNTATTTATCTTTATATTCTAAAATAATTTCATCAAATATTGATTTTATAGCATGATAATCTTGTAAATCTTCATAAATTTTTGGTTCATCATTTTGTAATATTGTACGATAATCAGAAAATAAAATTGGTTTTCGAAATAAATAATTTCGATGAGATTTTAATAAAGAATTATTGTCAATAATATTTTGTAAAATTTTATTAAATAATTCATTATCTTTTATATCACTAAAACGATCAGAAAATATTCGAATACATTCATGTAACCAAACACGTAAAAATCTTTCAATGGTATTAAATCTTTCAGGTGTTGTTTGTAAAAGACTTTGAATTATTCGACTAAGATCACACAATGAAAATATATAATAAAATTTTATTGGTGTTGAAACAAATAATCGAAGAATATCTTCATAAATTTGTAATGTATATTTTATTATATTTGGAATTATTTCTTGAATTTCTATTGGAAATGTTATTACATGATTTTGTAATATTGTTGAAAATATACGAAATAGTGATTCACGTGATGGACATGATATATAGAAAATACTAAAATGACTTATAAAAATATTATTATTACTTTCACCTACAACATAGAAATAAATCAGTAGGTTTAATATTTTTCTTATTCTAGTGAGAGAATCATTCGAACTGATACCCATCGCTTGAGGCTAAGATAGCAGGAAAAAGCTTTACAACAAGGTATTTTAATTTTTTTTCTATAATGAAAAGCAATTAGCTCGAATCTAGATTGTGATTTTAATAGTCAACGAAGTTTTCTATCCAATACATTCAACACCAAGGTTTTTAAAAGAATCAGACATGGGAGTTCTCAAGTACTAGAGGACAATTTTTTACCAATACCATTTTAAAGAAAACAAAATTCTAAACGAAATGAGTGGTCGCCGAATTTTCTACGACCTTCCTTTAAAAAGTTAAAAGTATCACAGAAAACGAAATTCCTGAAAAAATCGACTAAAAAACGCTATTTCTCGATGTTTTAAATATTTTTACCTTTTAAAGGAAAGGTCTCAACAGCCACAACACAAAAATAAAAAAACAGAATTTCGACATCAAAATTTCGCCGGTAGAATATCACGGTGGTTTTAGCAAAATAGAATGTGTTTTTTTGTGTCCAGCTGTTGAATTATTTAGAGAAATTCGGTATCTCGAAAAAAGAACATTGCTTTTGGCTGAAACTTTCAAGATATTCAATAAATCGTTCGACTTATTTATGGATGAAATTTCACGTCTAAATTCAGGTTTTTGATTATTCAATATACGTAATTACAGAATGTGTATATTTATCTTTTTGTTTGATTGTAGTTCAGATGAAAAACAACTATGATGATTCATGAGATTTCATTGAGTATTAGTTACGTATATCGTTTCATCTCAAATCAATCTAAGATACAACTTTCGTCACTCATGGGTATTTTGAATTAAAAACGAAGATACACATAAATCTACGATCAAGTGCAATCTTAAATAATTATTCTACTTTGTTTCGATAACATAACTTGTTATTAAAGTGCGATTATAAAATATATTAATTTATACGATGATGAATTTTCATTTAGTAAAGGAAAACTAATATGATCACTTTTATGTGAAAAAAACAGTTGTATCTACCGATCGGTGTCTCAGCCAGTAAGGGATTCTCTACCAGACCGTATTGGCCCGTAAACACTGAATCATTTTCGAATTTACGATTGGTTGATTGGCTATATCCAGTCTAGTGGACTTCACAAACCTCCGTAGTACCTTTACCTTTATTGATTACGTTACAAAAATCTCACTGAACTCTATGGTTACTTTTCCAATTCATCTCTCACAAATTATTCTAAACTTCAATACTTTTTTTCTTGAATATAATTAAATCTTAGCTATTGACAGTATTAAGAACAACATCATTCATAACGATGGTTAAGACCTCGACGCTCGAAATCCTTCTATGTTTATTTATTTGTATAAAAAAAATGGAGCTAACGGTTGTTGATTGTTTTTGTTTTCTTGCAGGATACCTGGATTTGATTATTGTCTTCCTTTTCTCTTCTATTTAGAGAGAAAACTATAAGGAAGAATAGGACAAAAAAAATAGCGAACAACAACACATGTTATTATATTTTCGCTTTTCTAGTAGTTGATTCATTTGTTCGAAAAGATTTTATTATTATAGATAAACTTCTTAAATTCTCTATCAATTGTTTTGGTATCATTGTTTAAATCAGGAATATGTTACCCGGTAATATTCGAGAAGATCTTCATCCGAACTGTCGAACAAGTCGTAGTGTACCTCATTTAACACCATCATTTTCAATGAAAGATACAATAACAACCCCTCTAACCTCATCATCAACAAGTACTCGAACTTCAATTGGACCACAACAAACAATGATGAATTATGCTCGCATGTCATATCGTTACACGACTGTTTGTCAAAACTATATTGTTTATTTTGAACTATTTATTTAGTTTTTGTTAATAGGTTACATTACTTTCTATGCATCCACAACCGGATATAACTATTTTTCCTGATCATCTTGTTGAACGACGTTTTCTCAAGTAAATTTAAAAACAAAAAAAAACAATCTGTTTATTTTCAATTATATCTTTAGTGATGAAAATTATATTGATCTTGAACGAATGTTAGCTGAAAAAGGTGGTAATTTTCGATTGGAGTCATATTGTATACGTGATGGTGCAGGCGATGGACCTATCATACCAATTAGAATACATAAATATGATTTTTCTGATCCTATATTATTGAAGTAAACCTTTCTTTTTCTTTGTTTTGATCAGTTTTTCAATGAAAATATAATTTAGAAAGTAAAAAATCGTCGTCCAAAAGATCCATTAACACCTCATCAAGTAGCTGCATTAACATCAGTTTTAACACATCATCAATCATCAACATTTCCCACACCATTATCGTCACCTCATCAAATTCAATCATCACATGTTTTGGTTGATGATTATAGTCATCGACAAGCACAATTTGAAGGTAATAAGCATCGATGTCATATACCAACACAATCATCAATGCCTTATCAAAGACAAAAACCAAATCAATATGAAATATATACAAATCAAGTTAAATCTCTTTTATCTAATCATCGATCGAATGTTGAACAAAATACAAATACTGTTCCTATTTTACAATGTTTATTTCAAGCTCAACACCGCCAACAGTTAATTTTTGTATCTCTTATTTTTAAGAAAATTTTTCTTTTTACTTTATTTACAGAAATGAACAACGTAAAATTGATATTAGAAATCAACAATCACCATCATATGTTAATACTCCGATGTCAACATCAGAACATTATCAAAAAGGTTTATCTACATTTTGTACACCAGTATCACCAGAACAATCAAATTCATATAATACATTTGCATGGCCATTTTCTATGGGTCAAAATGAAAAAGTACCATTCGTTTTGTTTTTCTTTCTTATCTACTTTTTTCATTAATTAGCCTGTAACACATCCATTGCATATACCTATGTCAACTCAGACTACTGTCAAAAAAAATCAAGTAATATGCTTTTATTAATTAGTTATTTTTGAAAAAAAGATAGTCGAAACTTATTTCTCGACAATCAAACACTGCATATTCGTTCCTTTTTTTAGCCATTAAAGACAACCGGTTTGAGCCAGCATCAGAATTTTTCAATATTTTCTTAATTTGTGTCTTAGAACATTTTCAACTTAACATATGTATTTCAACTAAAGAGTGGGTTTCTATGGAAATCCGCAACAGTCAAAAAATCGTTGTTTCAAAACTGCTTTTAAAAATACAAAAGTTTTAAAATCTATCATGAAAAAATAAGTAGCACGCTTCATAGAGTAAACTTTGTTCTACAAAACTAGACCGTCAACAACTGATTCGGATTTTGTATAGTTGACCAATCTTACCACAGAAAGAAATTATGAAGACATATACGGAAAAAGCGAAAAAGTCTGATTCTAACTAACTGCTTCTGGACATAACCAACAGTTTTTACGTGATCGTAAAATAAATCAATATTTTGTTAAATGTGTCACGCGTAAGAATCTACCGAAAGTAGATATTTTGAAATTTTTTTCTTTTCATGGTAGACCAAGGCCATTTTTTGCTTCTATTTTGTTTAACGTTGTCTATCGTGATCATCCATTCTCGATTTGAGTTTCGGATTTTTATTATAGGGTGTGGGAAATGTTGATGATTGATGATGGTGTTAAATGAGGTACACTACGACTTGTTCGACAGTTCGGATGAAGATCTTCTCGAATATTTCCAAGTAACATATTCCTGATTAAAACAATAATACTAAAACAATTGATAGAGAATTTAAGAAGTTTATNTCTGCATTTTTGCCTCCTATTTCGCCCCTTTGCCGTTACAAAACAACAAATTGAATCAAAAACAATATCATATTCTGAATCAGCATTAAAAACTGAGTCGATCCATATATGTTTCAAAGATTTCTGAGAAAAACATTTTTCCTATGAAAAAATGATCCTGTACTCCCCCTCAGGGTCCATGAAAAAATGATTTCTCACAAAAATGCCATTTATCGTGTGGAATGAAATAACCGAGCTTCTATAATTTCAAAAAAACAAAAATCTCAAAAGACTAAACGAGAAAAATGCCATTTTGAGAGAAATCATTTTTTCATGAACCCTGAGGGGGAGTACAGGGTCGTTTTTTCATAGGAAAAAAGTTTTTCTCAGAAATCCTTAAAACATAAATGGATCGACTCAGTTTTTAACGCTGATTCCGAATATCATATTGGTTTCTACTTAAACTTTTGTTTTGTAACGGAAAAGGGGCTAATTAGGGGGCAAAAATGCATAAAAATGTGCTCCGACAGCAATGTGGCTCGGCACGTCTACACTCGTCAGTAGTTTTTGAGTTTGGAAAATGTATAGCTTTGTAGCTTTCGAAAATGGCTATCGACTGGTAAAAACCCGAACTCGATAGCTGTTAATATTGGTGAATTATTATCAAAATACCGTGGCATATATCGATCATATATCCATGAGGTGGGCTCATGATCCTGAACACGCTTGGTACAAATAAGGAATCAATCTAAAATAACCTATCTAGCCCAGTTTTTCAAGTTGAACACGAATCTGAAGTTTATTTTCGTGATTTCTGTAGAAATTGTATGTCTTTGTGGGGTAGGATCAATGCTGACTAGGTAGGACAGGCCACAATGTGGTCCATGCTAACTTGGCCCCTGAGTTTTTTTGTCTTGACAATTTAATGTCAAAAGATGTATCTTGACAAGATCTATGTCTGGTAAAAAAAGAAGTTTAGCATCGCTTGCACCACTCAAGAAAAGCCCAAAATACTGCTATCCCAGAATTTAGGATTTCTTGAGATTTGGAAGGTTTTTGATCTATAGCGTTTCTCTTAACCCAGATATGAATCATCAAAATTGGATAAATTTGTAGCCTATACTGTTCCCTATCTAATGAAAGGTGCCCGATCTCAAGCGGTCAAACCATTGATGAGAAAATGTCAAAATACTGAGCACACCCATTTTTAGCGGATTTTTAGGGACAAAATAGACTCCCTTAAACTTGTTTTAGCTCGCATTTTTCATAGGTAAAACCAAATGGCCTAATATTTTGGATTTAACTATAGTTTACCTAGGCCTGCCATTTAAGGAAATAAAATCGAAAAAAAAAATTTTTTCCCCGGCGACCTAGGGTGGTCCTGTCGCGGACCCTCTCTTAAGGCAAAATGGTAACATCGAATAAGTTTCATTAAAAAAACACACCGAGAATAACTGTTCTGTTTAAAATTGTTGTTATCTATATCAAATTCATAAATTTGAAATGTCTACGTCACCTTTCCTAAGCAACTTTCTTTCAACTTCTGCATAAATGAAGTTGTATATTCTGTTAGTGTAATATTATACGATCATAGAGATGATAAAGTCCATCAGATAAAACCCAAGGCAAAGCCAGTTGGGGTGTGGGTGTGTAGATGTAATTTTCACTGAAAGCTACACCTACACAAGTCATGTCTTAACATTAATTTGGCATTAAAGGATTATAACTTCAATTGATTATTCTAAAACTGTAATGGAACTTATATCTCTACAATTAATTAAAGCTTCAGTTTGCATCAAGAAAAAAAAGCATTTAAATAAAATACAAAAATAATGATCATTTAATCATCAAATAAACTTTTATTGAAACAGCTTTATGTTAATATCAATATTTTTTTGTATTTAGGATTTTTGTTGAGTTGGATTCATTCTAGATATTTGGTGTATCTACAGATTTAAAACAATTAGAAATTTTCAATGACAGTCGTTTTGTAGTTGCCCAACCTGCTTCTCGATTAACATCATCAAGATTATCATCTACTTAATAAAAATTATTTAAAGTTGAATTTGAAACAAATCCATTACATAAATCATCGGATTATCGTGTTAAAATTGTTTCACATTCTTTAAAAAATAAACGCAATGCATTAACTATAAAATTTTATTTCAATAATCTAAAAACTTCTTTTATTTAGCCAACAGACAATTAATTAGCTGAATGTTTTCAGCAAGATACTCAACGTAATTTTCAAGGGTAAGTTATGATTGAAAATTATTTTTTTTTCTTTCAAATAAATTTATTTTAGCGTTAAACAAGTTACTTATTCAAATTATAAAGATGTTATACATTGATCTTTAATTACCATATTTTCTTTTACCATAAAATGGAGTTTACTGAGAGTAAGAAAAGTTCGCTTGTTCCTTTTTCTAAATTCGACTATTTTTCTTCTGGTGATGTTCCAATACTTTGTACAAACTTCGGTCATTTCACATTAAAATGAAGTAAAAAAAACCAAGTGATAATAGATAACAATATACTTCAATCAAAGAAGCAAAGATAAAAACGAAACAATTTTATTATTGAAGATTTTCTTTATGATAGAATATTGAAGAAGATCGTACAAGATCTCATACACAATTCAATTTGAAACTTGAACATATTCAATTAAATTATGCAAAATGAATCTATTAAAAATTAGAAGAAAATCTATTTTTTATATATAAAAAAACTTCAGATAGATGAAAGTTGGGAAAAAGCTCGTCAAAGAAAAAGAAAAATATACATTTAATTAAATCAATAAAATTTGATTTAGATGTTGATAAATGCATTTATAATGACATAGTGTTCTTATGTCCATAAGTTTTTCACAAAATTTCTAAACCTTCTACAGAATAGACGATCATAAGGCTTTTAATTTATTTTATAAGTTAGCTTCTATTTCGATTAATTTTTTTGTGTTGTAGCTATACTTTCATTAACTAACAAGTATAGAACTGTCCATCGAGAATAACTATTAATCGGAAAAAGATAAAAGTTATTTTAGACAAGTTAAAAACAAACTTATTATGCATAGGTCAATACGATTATCAATGCAACATCGATGAAGATTTACTGACACTTTTGTCTTCTCTTAGTAGAACAATGTCGAAAATGATGAACGTCGTACAGTAATTGGATCTTTCCCTATTTCAATAGTTTTAACATCATCTGATAGATGTTTTCTTGTAGCAGGAGCTGGAGGTCTTTGATCTTCTTCTCAGTGTTCTTCACCACTGGCTACACCATCATCAAAAAATGGATCTCTATTACTACCCATTGTGTTCATCAATATAATAAGACCATATGTTACTTTTACTCTTATGCTTCTCGACAGACGATATGCATTGCTCTGCTAAGGACAAGATTTATAATGACAACTATTCTTTTTCTTCTTCCTCGCGACAGAGAATAGATAAGACGACGAACAAAGAGAACAAAAAATTGTTGAGAAGAGCACACAACATGAAAAATCATCATGTACGATAGAGAAAAGACAGACGAAAGAAAAAGAGAAAGAAAGAAACAAGCTCAGAGTTCTTGATAAAGTATAAAAATATACAAGATGAAAAAATGTTCGTTACTTAAAGTTTTAAGAACGATTTACTTCTTCGATTGCACGTCCTATTCCTTTTTTTTTGGATATTTTAAATCGAACTTTCAACTTTTTTTTGTGATAATTGATCATCTGTATTTATTTTACACTTGTCGATTATAAATAAATATTTAACATTTCGAAACAAAAGTATATTTAGTAGCTCCGAAAATGATTTGAGCAGGTTTATTTTCAATGTTTTTCAACTGTAGTGTAGAGTTTAATCTCGAACAAGAATTTTGTAAGCTGAAAGAGATCGCTAGTTCTCTAAGGATAGTCTTTAAAAAAGTGAAGGCCAAATTTTTCTGAGTTACTTCGAATAAAAGCGTAAACAATACTCTCCAGAATAGAGTCTTCCAGCTTTCTGAGAAATTTTTTAGACGAGATGCATCAATTTTATGAACGGCACGAAAATGGTATTTCTAGATGAAATAGCAAAAAAACGTTGTAGAGATCGGAAAGGCGTTTCAGTTTGTAGAAAACTGTTTGATCTATGATTCTGAATGATTCAAATGGAATTCCAGGAGAGGAAAAACTTGAGTTTTGGCTTTTTCAGAGATATTGTTCTTGCTAAACTAGGGATGCCTTTCATCTTAGAAAATTCTTGTTGGAAATAAAACTACAAAAATCACTGTTAATTCTTATCAGTATAGACGGTGATGGAAAAAATTGAGAGCAAGTCTCATTGAAGAATTTTGAGAATCACTGTATATGAAATATTCAAGATGTTTATGACTTTGAAGTCGATCTTGTATTTAGTTTAGCAATTAGTTGTTGTCATGGTTCTAAACTTTGCATGTTTCTGATGATTAAAATCTAGTAGAACGATGCTTTCATTATTATTGACTGAATAAACAAACATTTTGTAATTGATCTTAATATAACTATACAATACTTTTTTTTATGCTCAAAATAAGATATTTTGTATAACTAGCATTTTCTCTTATTATGAGCCGCTGTTTATTTTACTTGCTGTAATATTTCAATGAGAAGGGTTGACTGGATAAATATACCTTTTTGTAATCTGTTGGGACTCGGGCCCGTAAGTATACGGTTTCGAAATTTCACTACAATGACAGGTTTTTACTGCTAGTAAAGAATTCATGTCAAATTAAAGTTGGCCACTGCCACATTAACAAACTTAAAATAAAAGCTACTCATGATGTGCATTGAGCGAGATGATGAAGTTTTCAGGTATCTGCAGCATACATATGAAAGATACTCAGAAATGAATATTTTAACACTATTTATTTTTCTTTTTTCCGCCGTAGTTGAATAGAGCTCATCGATTAACATAAGAAAAAGTATGCTTCAAACCTAAAAATTACTATTAAAAGTTTTCAGAAGAGTCAACTCTTTTATCTATTTTCCGTACATTTGAACAGAATGGTTTCGAGAAGCTTTCGCAGTAATTTTTTAAAACTATTTGTCAATTTCAAAACACTTTTTATTAAGCAACTCGACCGTGAAGGATTATCGAAAGAAGAAGAACGAAAAAAGATTTTTTAGTGGATTTAAAAAGACTTATTGTTAAGGTAAATGATTTTATTTTATTTTTCTGATGATATTGTTTTTTTTTTAGAATTAACTAACAGGTGGATAAAATGAAGAAAAAAAACGATATGCACATGAACATGAACCCGTTACGAAATTAATCGATATTATTCAAACAATTAAACTTTCATTTCTTATTGGCATTTATTAATTTAATTTGATTTTTTATATTGATTTCGAACATTAAATACGGCTGGTCAAGGTTCGGCATTTACTCGTGAAATTCTCGAATTAATGGCTTCAATTGATAAACATGCAGTTAGCTTTGGTCTATTCAACCCCACATGAACAGCTGAATGTGAAGCTTATGAAGCCGCAAAAGGTCAATGTGTCTTGGACTCGGCTTCCCTTTTTCTGATGTTGAATATAATGGTAAAAAAATCATACCAGATCAACGGAAGGAATTCCTATATATTTCCTGGTATTGCTCTTGTAACTATCACATGTTTTATATGACATATTTCCAATGAATTATTTTATTTAGCTGGTAAAACTCTTTCAGAACAAGTTACTGAAAATGATTTATCTGTTGGATTTGTTTATCCATCAACTATGAAAATTCGAGATATATCAAGAAAAATAGCTGTAGCATTAGTAAAATATGTTTATGAAAAAAATTTAGCAGCTCCTTATTCAAAACCAACCAAATGATTTAGAAAAGTCTATTCAAACAAAACAATATACAGGTGAGTTTGAAGATGTTTTACCACCACTATGAAATCGTACCATCAAATCAATTTCGACATTGTAGATTCTTTTTTTAACCTTAATTTGATCATTTCTATTTATTCAATTAAGATGATCTATAGTTTCTCAATATTTCTAAATGAATCAATTAAGGCATTGTTACTCTTGGTTATGGATTAGAAATTTCTATTAAACACCTACATCCAGTATGCGTGCATTAAAATGAGAGATTAATTACGGTTTGAATATCGAGAGAATAAGAAAAGGTATTTTATGAAATCGATTTTTGTTCATGCGATATGTTGTCGAAGATATTGATAGTTTTGTTGAATTTAACTGTTGTTCTCTTATTTTGCTCTTTAGCTTATTTAATTAGAAACTATGAACAGTAAAGAATTGTTGTTTGTATCACTGAGTTATTGTTAACACAATCAGAATAATAGAATATCTTATTCATAACTGATGGTATATACAGAAACTAAATCCAGTTAGATGATATTCGGCTGATTTCCAATGTTGATTTTCAATTATTCTGACAGAATTCGATTAATAGTTTGCTCTTCAAACTCTAACTGTGAAAAATGGTCATTGAGTATATAGTTTCACTTACAAATAAAAGCCAGTACAGTTAAATGAACAATTTGTCAACAAAAATATCTGTTACAACTCGATATTCAATTATAACGAATTGCTATTTCTTACTCTTTTTTACTTTGTTGTAATAATATAAGGATTTTTCTATTATTTATTTTAATTGAAATAATCAATATACAATGGAATTTACAATGAAGGAAAATATTGATAAATATCTTGGGAAAAACGTGTGATGTTTTTGACAATTAATTGTTTCACTTTCGAACAATTACGTCGCATTGTATCTCTTGTAAAGTACAGTGTTGCAGTTGCCAATTCGTCATACTTGACTTTTAATTGAGTTAGACAGGGTAGATGTGTCTTTGTTTCGAGTAAAAATTGTACAACATAATCGCTATTTGCATGCATAAGGTCAAGTAATAAAAGATGAGGATATTCAATAATTGAATTAGATAAATTTTCATCAGTTTTCATTGTATGATCGTTACATAACTGTGGAATACTATTCTGCAGAGAGAAACACATAAGCATTGGAAAAGCTCTACTGATTCGCATAAAGAATTCATGGTTTAATGGAATAGAATCATTGACACACAAGTGAGTTACACTGTTAAATATCATATTTGGAAACTGACTTGAGATCTTCAAATGAGTAAATGAAAATGGAAATGAATAAACATGATATGTAGTTGTAAACATATCGAGGCTTTCTATGATGCAAGCCGTTTGTCTAGATTTTATATTTGTAAAAGTTTTTTGAATATCATCAGTCGATATCGAACGAGGTAAGTTACTTGTGTCAATTTCTGTACTTACATAAAAGATGAACGTACGAAGTTGAGGCATATGAATAAGAATTTCGTTATGAAGATCTTTGCCATCGATGAGTGGACCATCAGTACTAATACGAAGATACAAAGTTAACTTTTCGAGATGTGTCATACGATGAAGAAGTGGCACAACCAATTCGTGATAATGACAAGTGACGTGATAACTTGTTAATGAAAAACACTTCAAATTATGTAAATTACTCTATAAAATATAAAAATATTTGTGAAAATATTTATTAGTTGAGTTAAGATAGAAAGTTTATGGGAGAAACTAGTTGAAAACGCTCTATTCATTTACAATTCCTTTTTGTTAAACACTTGTTGTATTTGATGAGATGTAGATTATTCAATAATCATATCTAAAATACATAGTCGATATATCTAAACTTTCCAAACACTGCAAATAGAAGATTTGTAGAGTCTAATTTAAAAGACAAACAGTTAACTTTAGAATTTGACAAGATTTGAAAAGTTTTATATCCTAAAGTTGATTCGATATCTAAATCTGCCTGAAATATCGATAAATACAATAAATTACTTTTCATTTATGAGTCATTGCACGTGAGCCACCAGCGATTGTAGTAGGAAGTGCTCAATCAACCATCTTCGATTTTTCATTTTTACGTATGCGATGGAGACAAGTGTTTCATGATTGTTGAAATGGCTTGCATCGAAAAACATCAAACACTTGTGTTCATCACATACGTAAAAATGTGGCAAAGTCGGAGATGGTTGATTGAGCACTTCCTACTACAATCGCTGGTGGTTTACGTGCAATGGTTCTTATAGAGTACAGCTGTCATTGTTAATGAAATTCAAATAAACAGAAAAGTATATTTTTGAAAATAATTTCATCAGTATGGCTTAAATCAGCACAAGTGTAGAATCTACCCGTGTGCACCCATGGCATGGAGGGAAACTTTTTAATTTTTGGGTAAAGTTTGTCCGAGAAAAATTTTCTTAAATTACAGCAGATTCTGCATCTCTATAAACCAGTGTCATTTCTTTTGATAATGCTATCTCATACTATGAGTATTTCTGAATATGTTTCAATCTAAACAGTTTTATGTGATATTCTTCGTTTTCATAAAATCATGATGATATCAAAGCTGTCGTGACAGAATGTGAGACCACTGGATAATTTTGATAAATTCTGCTGTTTTTGATAATTTAAGAAAAATTGTTTGAGTTCTGTATTCGAAAAAAAATGATTAGATTGTGTAGTTAACATAAAACTCAGGCATTCGATTGGTTCCATGAATATTTCAAAGAAAGTTGGCAGTTACTGATTGTAAACATATTAGACAAGCCTTTTTACTGTTTGTTGTGATGAGCAAGATACTCATTTTTGAAACTTTTAATAATCAATGCTTCTAATTAACTACCAAACAATTTCGAGTAAAAAATACGAAAGCAAGAATAGCTATCTATTTCCAGGCATTACTCAATGGTCAAATTGATCATTCTCTATCAGAGATGTCCATCACGGCTGAAAACTTGGCGCTGCCGCGTAGCCATGGACATCTGTTCTCTGTTCTAGTAATTATCTGATACCTTAGCATCATTTCATCGTCGACATTATTCTTCAAATTCAAACAACGGTTAAAAAGTATCAACTCACCATATTAGAAGTAATTGATGGATAGTGAATACTACTATTAAATGGACGATTTACATACACAACTTGAACGATGAATGTGTTTAATTGTTTGAGTCGACCATCAAGTAAAGCAAGACAATCATAGAAACTCAACACTTTAATGCATAATACAGTAAGAGTCGAAGAGAAATCAATGGTTGGCTCTTGAATACAAAGAGACAAAGGTGGATAGTGGTTCACAGGTGATGGAACAACTGTTAAATGCTTTAAATTTTGAAAGAGAACCATGATGCGTGCATANTAAAACCGTTGCACGTGTTACATAACCAAATTGAGAAAAATAAGTACGTAATTCATGTGATGATACTGTCCATGGTAAATTACGAATGAATAATTTGTATATTTGTTGTGCCATGATCAAAATTGAAATAAAACTTTTTGTATAAAATCAAATATCGATGAATGAAGCTACGAATCAAAGAAAAAACAAACGATCAATAAAATGACTGGTTAACTTAACTATCGAATGATCAACGAGAAAAAGTCATAGAGAAGAGCGTTGCTTAGCAGGAGAAAAGAAAAATGGCATACATGCATTTTGGTAAAACAGAAAAATATAAAAACAGTAACGATTGTTGTTTTATTTAATGGAAGTACATGTTTTCGAAGACTGGAGAGAACATTATGTTTGTCGTGTAGACGATTCAACAGAAAAAGGATGAAAAAGGCAAATTTTTTTTCATTTTATTATTGTTATTTTTAAAATGCATATAATCATATGTTATTCTTTACATTTATTCATTAGATTGTAGATGGATTTGAAAGAACCTCATGTTCCATTTGTAAATCAATCAGGTATATTTGATTGGGAACATGATCGTCTAGAAAATGAATATCGTCTTCATCTATTTCCACCATCAATTTTATCATTACAAGGATCACTGTTATATGATTCTTCATATATGACAAATGATATATTAAATTGTCCACCGTTGATTTGCCGACCAGATCTTCATCAAGATCATGTGGCTACAACTTATACTCTTTATCGGCCAATGCCTTCATCTTATAATTGTCTTTTAGATCCAACACGAAGACTTCATGAAAAACCTCATTTAGATGAATTAGGTGATAACGTCACAGTAAGCATACCTGGTCTTACTCGTTTTGATCGTGATCCACCTTTATCATTTGATTTACCAAAATTGAATAGTTCTTTAAATAAAGAACAACTTGAATACACTTGGTATCATAATAATGAAACTGAAATAGGAAAAATTTTTCCTGAAAATTATTGGAATCGACATAAACTTGCTGGAACATCTCCATCTGCTTATCTTGTACCTACTGTACTTTAATAAAAATTAATAAATAAATTATTTTACTATATATATATATGTATTTATTTATTTTAATTTATTTTTTATAGATTAGAAATGGTAGAATATTCACTTGCTGGTGAAGGTGCTGGTTTATTAATTGATCGTGATTCATATGCAAATCGTCATTGGCCCGAAAATGGTTCCGCTGATGAAGTTTATAAACGTTGTGGTTGTACAATGATAACAAAATGTCCAATACATGATGATTATTCAACATATAAATTTCTTCTTTCTGATCCACTTGCAACTCAGTCTGATATTTGGTTATATCGACAAGAACAACAACAATCAAATCGATCGGAAACTATTGGCAACTATATACTTTTTCAGGAATTACTTGATCGTTATCCGCATTATTTTTTACGTGGTTCATCAAAAACAGGTGATACATTTTATCGACAAAAAGGTGCACGATTTAATTATGTACCACCATATCGTGTATGTGCTAATGAATTATATCATGAACAAAAACAATGGGTTTTAAAAGAACCAACAACTGAATCAAGATCACGAACATTATCGGCACCGTCAACTCCATCACCACAAGATGAGCAGGATAGAACAACAGATGAACGAAATTTTCTTCCAGCATTACCAACAAAAAAATATTCAACAGCTCATAGATCAACAGCAAGATCCTACCATCGTAATAATTATTTTTATGATATGGCTTTATGAGTAAGAATTGAAGATTATAGTTAGCTATCCGAATTAGCTAGCTTACAAAAAAAAACTCTCGCTCTTCTTATATATGTGTGTGTGCGTGTCGTTAATTTCTAAAAACAAAAAAAAAAAAAACTTGGGTCGCTTCTTCTTCTTCTTCTTGCTTTATTAGATTGTCAAAGTGCCTTTGTCTATAATATATTATTTTCTAATCCTTTTTATTTTTCCAGATAGTCGGTCATTTTGACCGATATGAATACAAGTGATTCTTCTTCATTACCTGCTGTTGATAATCAATTTGATTTCGAATGGTCACCTGTTTATACACGTGTAGCGGAACCAAGATTTGATTGGTATCGTTTTCGTCGTAGTCAACTTCAATTTAAATTGGCTGAAAGTTTACATCACAGTCATGTCTATGATCGATGCAATTGTTCTATGGTAACATCTTTAAATGATTTTTCTCTTTGTCCTGCTCATGCTGCTAATCAATTTTCTCAAGTAAAAATTGATGGTTCACTATCACCAATAACATCATGTCCGTGTATGTTTTGTCGAAAACATTTTACTGAAAAAGACCGTCCTCAAGGATTACCATCAATAAAAAATCTTAAACAACTTTTGCCAACAAGAGGTTTTATTAATTCAAACACATCACCACCAACAATGAAGTATTTGTCTCGACCATTTACTGTACCTGTTTTTCAGGCTACATTTCCACTTGATCATACATTTGCTTCACGTTATGTACCAACATATAAACGTTTATCACGGCCAAATGGTTTAAAAGAAGAAATATTTGATGTTCAACAAACAATTATTTCAAAATCAGCTATACCAACAAAACTTGGTATGCGTCTAGATGCCGAACCTGATCATGATCATTCACAAGTGTTAAATCTTCCACGGGAACGTGATTCATTTTTTCGTAGTTTAGATGATTATTTTAATATGGCACCTGGCGTTGGTCCTACAATGATTTCATAAACATAAACGATTGTATCCATTGATTTTTAAATGTATACTCACCCTTTTTTTACTGTCAACACGAATCTTAATACAGATTTTCTGAAAATATATTCACAATGAAAAAAGTTTTCAAACATTAACTTTTATGGAGAAATTCTGCACAATACTCATTTCTCTCGATCTTATAAAAAAAAATAATACTATGATTGTCTTCATTGAATAATTCGTTTTTCTGTGAAAACTATTTGAAACAAGAAATGAGCTTGATGTTAGCTTCTCATATTTCAAATACATTCGAATTAATTTCATATTTATACTATCGAATGAGATTCAATATCATTCATAACAAAATAATTTATATGCGTACATAAAAGTGAATTCATACTATATATAAAGTAATTAGCAATATGACAATTGACTTCATGCACATGTTTTTCTACTTATTTGGCTCATCGTATGCATTGAAGATAAATTTATTTGTGTTTTTTTTTCTTTTTTTCATTTTGTTTGGAATAGCAGTAATATGTCAATTCAATGAGGGATGAAACAGTTATTGATATTAGTCACAATAAAATGTGTGGGTGTGGGTGTGGGGTGTGGGTGTGTGGTGTGGGTGTGGAGTGTGGGTGGGTGTGGGAGTGGATGAAAGAAACGTATCCACACCAACACCCTCATAAGTACCCCTTGGATAGCGCTCGATAAGTCAGACACGGTGGACAGACTATTCATTAGTGGACGATCTTCGTCATATATATATGCCTATCGCCCTGTAGATCAGCTCATTCGCGTCACAACACAAGTACGAGTTAGTTGAATTAGAAATTTCCTAAAAATCTTTAAGGTGTTGATACAAAGCCGGATGTAAGTTATTAAGTAATTCGAGCACCTAATTACTCTGCTACGTGCATGACCATAGGTATAAGTACCTGTATCCACCTGCATAGGTAAAAATTTAGGACGTGATATGTTAAATCGCTTTTTAGTTCAAATGGAAAAAAAATCTAATTTAGCTTAGACCAGTCCGCCGTCAAAAAGTCTTAGTAATGAAGACTCTAAAGCTTCCTCAAGGAAGAGAATGTCCTCCCTTCGGAATCCAGAATTTCCAATACAATGATAAGAGCACCATTTAACTAGGTATGCATGAAATCGAATTGTAGTCAGATGCAAATTCAATTATTTCTTTTGTACGTAATAGGATTCATATTCAGGTTTCACGGTACTCGGCTACGATTTCACTGCCTTTGATTGCGATTTCACTTCATTTGAGTTGGATTTCACGCGATTTGACCCGGATTTCACTAGTAAACTTCTATTCCAGGTAATCCGAGTGCACAAATAGGAAGCTGTTGTTCGTTGTGCGAAATTTGTACTTAATTTGTCATCAACGGAAGACTTTTTTGGGATGCTAACAATTTTTTCATAAACGTCCATCGAAGGCACTGCGGATCCGCGAAACCGAATCTGCTTTGGGTTTCTCAAAACGTTATTCCTGATTTTTCACTTACAAGTGACCGATATAGGAGAGATCGCCGACAAATCTAGTGGTAAATTCCGAGAAACAGACAACGCTCCCATTCACCGAAGCCGGCCACATTCGTCAAAAAATACTCACATAAATGATTCCGTTCTCCAAAGACTTCTTATTTATTGAAGAAAAGAAGTAGAAAGTTCAGGAAAACTAATAAACCACGCAAATTCATCCACCCTGATACGCTTTGACGCAAATTTACTAACGAAATCAAGGACCGATCCAGTAAAACCCAAGTCAAAACACTCAAATTCCTTCAACTCTCATCCAAATCAACACAAATCTGATATTTGGACTTAGCAGAAAGTCGGTTTAGTAAGCTCCTACATATAACGGACGCACTATATAGTATCACAATTTTGAACTCTATAAAAGGAGACACTCTGAAATGCATTACTCAATTGAACACAAAGTCTATCGATTTTTAATCCTATTAATGAAAATAGTCGAAAAAATCCTTGAAAAATCCTAGAAAAATCCATCATGGGAATGGAGTTCTACTTAATCGATTGAAATCTCAGAGAAGCGAAGTGGTCTCAAAAATGTTAACGAATTCATAATAGGTTCTGCAGCCCTTGTTTGTTGTGTAAGGGATACAGACGTTCTCCGGGTATTTCCTGCTGGATACGGGGCTGTTACGATGTGATACAGCTAAGTTTTCAAATTGGTTTCGTTAGGCTGAAACTTAAAAAAAAATTGTTCGTACACATCTGTACTCGGTAGACTCAATATTCATTTCTGAATGTTTTTTATTTTCCTTATTTGACTCGTCATATGCTTGAGAAAGAAAAATTACCCGCGCATTGGACATAATCGACTTTCTTTTTACTAAAAATACAAATCGTGCTGAAGATCCAGATTTTGTATGCAAAAACATTGTATAGAAAACTATACTCAATTTTTAAAAGTAATTTTCGGCGAATTTCGACCTTGCAAGATGAAAACTTCAGCTCAGCAATCGTTTTTTACCTTACAAAATCATACTAAAAAAACAATTTTCCAATTTCGACTTGAAACTTTCCATGTAAAAAGCTATTAACGAAAGTTATTTATTGTGAAAGTTGCACGTAAGAGCAAAACATCTGACTGTTTATATGAGAGATCTAAAAGATTCAGAAATAAAATTACTCTGGTTAAGATCTGTAGTAATGCAGAGTTTCACATCGAAATTCATTTCAGCAATTAGTTAATCCACTAGAAGTCGATTTACCTCTTCCAAGACTTCTCTCAGCAGCCAGAGAAGTACAACTTGAAGTAATCAAACATAACAGTGTTCGAGCTTAAAGGTCATGCATAACCAAAAATCCTCACTGCACTACTGGTATTCAACCACTTTGAAATAATTCAAAAAATAGGAAAATATTTCTCATCATTCAATGAAATGTTTTGCTTCAAGTGAACCATATAAAAATAACAATAAGAACAATAACAATAGTTCTCATCATTTTTCTAATTCATACTTAAGTCATATTCATTGCTGTCGTAGCATTCAATGTTTCAGCTGTTGATTTTCTTAGTTGAATTGTTTCATGAACACTTAATATTAATAACTGATGGTTTTCAAACAGCCTGGCAAATTTATCATTAAGATCTTCATATATATAATATCCACACCAAACTAAATATGATCTACAATAAAGCAAAGAAAAGAAAAAGAAACACACATACAATAGAAATCTTTCATTTTTTATTTTCAGAATGTTTTTCGTCGAAGTTGACTTAAAAGATTTGCTGCATCAAATCTTACATTTTCACACAAGTGTTTTTCATTCGGCACTATTCGACTATAATCACAATATGTAGGACTGAATACCAT